TAATTATATTAGTTTTAATATAATGTGTCTTGGAGAAGGCCTTTTTGGGTTGAGATAATTAGGTGTCTGTTTGCTTCTTGGATTCAAGGGTCTAGTTCGTTCCATAGGATTGGGAAGTTCTCATTCACTATTGGTTTGAATAGGCTCTCTGTTTCCTTCTCCCTCTCTTCTCCTTCTGGTATACCCATTATTTTTTAAAATAATTTTTTTTCAATTACAGTTGGCATATAATATTACATTACTTTCAGATATAAAAAAACAGTGATTTATACAAAATTTATATAACTTATGAAGAAATCACCCCAGTAAATCTAGTATCTATCTAACATGATACATAGCTATTACGATATTATTGACAATATTTCTTATGCTATACTTTATATCACCATGACTATTTTTAACTGTCAATTTCTACTTATTAATCCATCCCCCTTTTTCACTCACTCCCTAACCCCCCAATCTGACAACCATCAAAATGTTCTCTGTATCTATGAGTTTGTTTCTGTTTTGTTTGTTCATTTATTTTGTCCTTTAGATTCCACATATAAGTGAAATCATATGGTATTTTTTTTTTCTGTCTGATTTACTTCACTCAGGACAATATTCTCCTGGTCTATCTGTGTTGTTGCAGATAGCAAGATTTCATTCTTTTTTCATGGCTGAGTAATATTTCATTGTGTATATGTACCACCTCTTCTTTATCTATTCGTCTACTATTGGACACCTAGCCTGCCTCCATATCTTGACTATTGCAAATATTGGTGCAATGGACATATGGATGCACATGTCCCTTTGAAGTAGTGTTTTGGGTTTGTTCAGATAAATACTGAGAAGTGGGATTACTGGGTTCTTCTTTGTCTCTTGTTATAGTCTCATACCATTTTGTCTAGTATAAATGTTGCTATCTCAGCTTTTTTGTTTGCTTGCTTTTCTCCTTTTTCATGAAATATCTTTTTCCATCCCCTTACTTTCATTCTCTGTGTGTCTTTTGATCCAAAGTGAGTCTCTCGTATTAGTATATGTAAGAGTTATTTTTTTACCCATTCAGCCACCCCATCTTCTGATTTGAGCATTTTATCCATTTACATTTAAAGTAATTGTTGATAGATATATAGTTATTGTCATTTTATTATTCATATTTTAATAGTTCTTCCTTCTTTTTTATATTAAAGAAGTCTCTCTAACATTTTTTCTAATACTGATTTGGTGTTGATGAACTTCTTTAGCTGTTTCTTGTCTTGGGAAGTTCTTTATCTGTCCCTTGATTCTAAATTAAAGCTTTGCTGGGTAGGGTAGTCCTGGTTGTAGGTCTTTACTTTTCATCATTTTGAATATTTCATGCCAATTCCTTCTGGCCTGCAAAGTTTCTGTTATGAAATCAGCTGACAATCTTATGGGAACTTCCTTGTACATAACTAACTGCTTTTCTTTTGCTGCTTTAAAGATTCTCTTTATCTTTAGCCTTTGGAATTTTAATTATGATGTATCTTGGTATAGGCCTCTTTGGATTCATCTTGTTTGGGATTCTCTGAGCTCCCTGGGCTTGTATACTTGTATGTCTATTTCCATCACCAGGTTAGGAAAGATTTTCATCATTATTTCTTCAATAAGATTTTCAATTTCCTGTTCTGTCTCTTCTCCTTCTGGTACCCCCTTATGATGCAAATGTTGGTGTGCTTGATGTTGTCCCAGAGGCCCCTTAAACTATCCTCATTTTTTGGATTCTTTTTACTTGTTACTGTTTTGATTTGGTGTTTTCTGCTACTTTATCTTTCAACCCTACTTATTATTCTCATATTGCTCTTTCCAATGGAGTCAGAGAGTCCTTTCATTTTTGCACTCTCAAGTCTCTTCTTCCATCTGCGTCATTTCCAGATTTCTGTTTTGATATCACTAATTCTTCTCTCATCTGGTCAGCTCAGTTTCCTAAGTTTGCTATTTCATTCTTTATCTCTTTTATTGAGTTCTTCAGCTCCATAAATTCTCTTTGGTTCTTTTTTAAAGTTTCAATCTCTTTGGTAAAATATTCTTTTTGTTCATTGATTTTATTTCTGAATTCATTAAACTGCCTATTTGAGTTTTCTTACAT